CGTTGTTGTCCTTTTACAGTCTGCAATGAAAAAAAAAAAAAACGCCCGGTTGGCGCTCTCTCGAGTTCATAGTATTACTTGCAACGAGAGGAATACCCCGAGAAAAGCACTAAGAAGGCAAAGAAATCTGGATGTCAAAGAGTCGCGAACCTCTGCCAAGCCTACGAACATATGTGAGCATGCCGTCCAAATAAGAAGCTGTAAACAGACTGTAGATAATAACATCGAACCTGTGTAAATATCTGCGGCGTGTAAGTTCAATCCACAGCCACTCGGGGTCATTGCTTTTCTTTTCGGTCTTCGCATTTGAAGCTCGTCACCTGAAGCGTCGCACACACTCTACGCACCCAACAATACGTATTGCAGACACGACCCGCGAGCCATCGCTTAATCACCGATTCCAGATGGACGTTTTGGTGACAGCAACGGGCGCGGTGCCGCAACCGCGCATCGCAAATCCGGCAACAGGGTCTTCCGCAAGACCAACCACGTCCACTCTCAACTCCCAGAACTCACAAAATTCATCGATTCCTCCAGCGTTGCACGTTTGGGACCCTCCTTCAGGAGCTCTTCTTGCCACATTAAATAGCCCGGCTCATGTGAGGATAGGACCTTGTGCTGTCTCATTTAGAGCGAGGTCGGGCAGAGGTGCCGGACCGGCGTCAGGGCCGTGCATGGCATACGGAGCTATCCAGGACTCGGCGCAGATTACCAGTTGGTCGTGGCAAAGACCACAACCTCTGGCGAGATATCCAGTCCCATCTCAGCCCAGGGCACTCGGATGTTCTAATTCGGGATCGTTTCTGGCAGCGGGAACCGCCGATGCACCACAGGTGCTATCAAATCCGGGGACTGTGCAGGTGCGTTGGGTTGTTCCCTGATCCCCAAAAGTCCATTTGCCTTTCCATCGACCTTCCACTCTCCTTCACGCTCTATCCATCACAACATTTGATAATATTTCGACCTAAATCGGATACACACTCACCGTTTCCAGAACTCTACTCCGCCTCAAGGCTCTCTACTTGTTTGGGATGTGCTTTCCGGCTCCCTCATCGCCTCCGCACCAGCAGCGCACCACCGCGCTGTGTCCTGTGTGGCATGGACAGCAGACGATGTAGCACTTTGTTCGGGAGGAGAGGACGGTGCGGTTGCTGTGTGGCTGGCTGCTGAGTGAGTGCGAAGGGCGGGTGGGACAATTCAGTTTTATGTTCGAACATATGTTGTGTTCCCTCGTGGTACGGTGGATGACTGAGCTTGTGCTCTGCCTGCAGTATTTTGAGCCCGTAGCGGGTCAGATCATCTTATCTGGAATGCTGCTCTTCTTTCTTGGGTAAAACACACGTTTGTGCCTGGACAGAGCGGAATAACGTCCACGAGACTTCTTGAGCTCACTCGGTAGGCCAGCGCAAGGACCCAGTACGGAGTTTTGTCTTGGTTCGGTGATTGTTTCCTTCGAGCGTACCCAGCATCCTGACTCACGAACGTTCCTTGGATCGATCGTCTGGAACGATTCCCGAATCCTCTCTCTTCAAATACCGCCAGCCTCCTCTCGACCCCTCCATCCTCCACGCCAAAACCTCTTCATCTGCTCACTCCACATCACCTTCCCGTCTCCCACCTAATTCCTTCACCTGCCCTCCCTTTTACGCGGGCCCGCCTGTACACATGCTCCCCTGACGGCATCGTCCGCGTCCACCGCATTGCGGACGGCACGGAGATCGCCGCGGTGAGAATATCAGGTGGAGTTGGAGTATCTTTCGGGGCCGCACCGTCAGTCTCTGCCACAGCTGCATCCTCAGTTCCTGCTGCCGCACCTACATGTCTCGCCACCGACCCCGCAGAGCTCTCTCTGCTTGTCGGCTGTGCAGATGGCTGCATTCGAGTGCTGGCCCTCCACGGATCTTCCTCCTCCTCGTCTTCTTCTTCCACCACTGCTAGCACCGCTCCAACGTTTTCATCCCGCGCCGCAACTCCTCGGGTTCTCCGCGGGCACCGAGGAACAATTAATTCCATCTCGGTGTCGATTGATGGTGCGACGGCGGCGAGTGTTGGTTCGGATGGACGGTGCGTTGTGTGGGACGTGCTTGCGGGACGAGCGACGCGGACGATCGGGGCAGGAGGAGGTGAGTTGAGTGCTCGTATTTCGACGTCATGTCGTCGCCCGTCTTACATTACACGTTTTCTCGCTAGGTCCTCTCGCCTTTTGTGCCTTCATCCCGCGCCCGATCGACTTACTCAACCCACACCACCCAGTTCCTCTCCCCCCCGCGGGTATGCTCAAGCGTACTCGACGCGGTACAGGTAGTGGGGAGGAAATTACAGTAGAGGTAGTGCTAGAGGGGATGGGGTGCAGGCTCGATACACTGGAAGAGGCAATGCACGGTGAGGAGAATGCAATGCATAATTCTTACTTGCTCGAAATTTATACCTTCTCTCTCATACCACACACCCCTGACAGCTCTTAACCCACTTTCTACTTCCCGCTCCACGGGTGCATCTTCTTCCTCCACTGCCGCTCTCCTTGCACGTGTTCGTCATTTGGAAGCCCAAAACGCCCGATTATCCGCAGTAGCGGAAGGATTATGGGAAGCTGGCGTGGCAACTGTCGAGCGGGGAATAAATAATCAACCGGATTCGAAACCTTCTCGAGGTGCAAAAGCTGCTAACGGAACTCGAGGTAGAGGTGGCAAGAGTGTGCCCGGAGGTAAATGGCGAGGAAACGGGCGCTCCAAGAGTCGAGCGACAGAGAAGGATGTGGAGATGGTGGAGGCGGAGGGCGAGGATGATGATGCAGATGGGGGGGAGAGTGTTCTGAGCGAGGAGAGTTCCGAATGAGATGATGGCAATTGTATTACCTTAACATGGACATTTAGATAATATTTATCTCTGATAATATACAAAAACACTCTCTTCTGGCTCGCTGAATCCCGTCTGTGGGTATCCTCGAACGTCACCGCCGTCTAACTACCGGCGGGCTCACCCACTATGTGTCGCTTCGTAATGGAAATACTGTTAGCACGGCATGGGATCTCGTGGGAGTTCGAAGGTCGCTGACCAGAACTTTCATCGGTCTTGTCCGTCTCCGTTGCTGTATTACATGAAGAGTTGATAGCTACCGTGCTACGAAACGTGTGTGTATCTGGCGGAGAGATGGAAATGACATATTACATTCATCCTTAAGCTGGTGAAAGTCTCCTAACGCTAGTAATTGCAATTTATCCCCCCACTCTGACGGTTTGTTCAAACCTTCCAAATATCATCCAAAGTACAATTTCAATCGGACAAAACCATCGGCGCGAACCCACAGACTTCTGCGCTTGAAGGGAGGGACACCTTCAGGTAATGACGATCATCAAACCCAAGATTGTGTTTCAATCGCCCAGGGCGAGCGCCTGATATGTCACAAATCTTTAACATTTCTGGTACACCCAGACACCCCACATCCACCACCATGCAACTACTTGTAGCATCTCAAGACTTATCTCTTCCCCCTGGGTACGTATTCGCAGGAGTCTCCCTCACAATCTTGGCCCGACTTAGATTTGGAGGGAGATGCGGTGGTGAATGAGACAGCGGGGGAATGAGAATCATGCCACGCATCCGCGGATGAGGAAGAGGAAGATGGGAAAGTTCCTTGTAGCTTCGGAGGTGTCGAGGTGGAGTTAGAAGAGGAAGTAGGGCTAGCTAGTTGCGGGGTCGACGACGGCGGGGATGAAGAGGTGGACGGTGTGGAAGTAGAAGGGAAAGCATCACTTGTATCTCGTCGCGCGTCGTTAATGAGTGGAGCGAGGTTGCGAGATTCGATTGCGCTCTACGGCAATAGGGGTGGATCGAATATGTGGGCATTCACGCGTTGAAAGCAAGCAAGCAAGGAGGTGGCGTGGACTACACTTCGATCCTCAGTGGGCTTCAGGGCTGGCTTCCGCCTAACACCTGAATAAGATGGTAGTTCCCTCACGCAACTTTTGCTTTGATCTGACTGGTTCCTGTCCTGAGCCATCCATTCCACTTGCGTCAGCCGTTTCTAATGCTCGCTAGTTTATTAGAGATTCCAACATGGACAAGTTGCTTTCAAACGAGAAACTGCTTTCGAACTCATTTGTCTTGAGCGAAAACACTTGTGCATTCCATGTACAAAGGGCTCCAGTCGTACTTTCATTGAACTTTTTCCTCCAACGGTTCTCATCCTCCCTCAAAGATCATGGAAGGTATCGATACACTCAAAGTGTCTCACAATATGGAATCAATCGCACTCACCCACACACACGACCTGTACTTTTCAAACAGCTCATCGCACTCCGTTCTCGTCTTTACTTCTGCTCCTGTCGCCGTTGCGCTCGTAACGTCGGATGTCGTGGCGGGAGCGTACATCCCCTTGAGGAATGAATCTGCATACCATTTATTGAAACAGGCGTCGTACTCCCGTTTCAGGCCAGTGCATTGAGGCGCTAGGGACGATGCCATCCAAGTTCTTTCGTGCAGGTTTAATGCTTGAAAGAGTTTAGTGCTTGTGGTCAATTGGTGATGGAGTTGGCCGTCCACGTCGAAAGAGAATATGTTCTTTTTCGATTGTATTTGAAGCATTAATATAAAATCGGGAATCGCGATCCATCACACGACCATCACTCTTAGATCGCTTTAATTAAACGTAGTAGTACATACATAGTATTCTGTGCACTCCCTACCGAAGGGGAACATCAAGGAACTAACTCGGCCGGCAACTCACGTCAGACACACGCTCCACTTCTATAATAGTGAACTCCGCTATGATAACTTTTCGGCTTCCATGGTTTCCTCTTGATTTCGAATCTTTGAAGGTTCTGTCGCACCGATGACCGATGCAAGCGTTCTTGAGAGAAAGAAACTTGTCTCCATGAAGTTCATTTATGAAGTGTGGAATTAGTATGATTAATTTGTTGAAAAGGTTCGTGAGCAAAGTTGCGGTCTTACAACAAAAAAAGTAATCATATATTTTTATCTTAAAATACATCGTAGAACCAGCTGTTCTGGTGAAGCGGTATCACACCACGTTGTGGCCGTGGCGTTCCTGGTTCGACTCCAGGGAGCAGCATCTTTTTTACCTTTTGTTTCTTCTTCGGTCCACACTCTCAAGTTTCAACTCGCTGAATTGGTCAACGGTCTGTGGAACGGCATACACATACAACTGGCACACCACACCAGCTGGCCTCATGCAGGTACTCACATGAGTGTAAAAAGCGCCGAAAATTGCTGTGGGTGGGGAGTGTCACAGAGCTGTGGGAAGTTGGCCGTGGGGGGAATGGAAGGGGGCTCTGCCCAAGGTGAGAGTGCACAGGGAGGTGAAGTGAGTAAGATAGGTTACAGACAGGTTTTGGAGGATGAGAGTGACGGGGCAGTGTGCTCTTGTTCGGTGCATGGAGTGACCCACTCACACTGCACAGTGCCTGCCCTCAAGGAACCTGTCCACTGGACTTCACCCTTATCTCTACCACTTGACATTTAGTACCTACCTGTCCTCAAAGTCGGGTGCCAATTGAAAGAATGTGGGGTTGAGCAGCCGTCAGGAATGGTCAAGCAGTACCAGCGGACATTCTTCCACCATTCAGTGCAAGCAAACAACTAAAGTGTTTTGAAATTCAGTAGTGGCTCTCACCATAAGGAAATTACCAGGCTAGGTGAGAGCAAGAGATGGTGTAAGAAGCAGGGACAGGAAGTGCAAATGGAGCATGAAGAAAAGGACAAGGGAGCAGGAGTGATCAAATTATCCATATTCTGTATGCAAAATACATTAAGGATGCTAAGTGTTTTTGTTACTGAACTGCTATGAACCTTGTCTGTCACTAGAACGGACTCGCAAACGGAGATCATACCTGCTCCCGCGGCGTCTCTTTCTCTTTGATTTTCCACGATGTCGACTTCGACTTCATTTTACTGCGATCAGTTGCACTCGTCATGGAATCGTCCGAATATCCCAACGATGACACAACACATGCCCTATGTGGCTGTTCCTTAACATTTAGCCAGTTACCCAATGCTGTGCGGTTTTTGGTCGGACAGTTACCTAATAACATGCTCTCGCGAGCGATAACCCGGTCATAGTGGTTCTCTTTCATTCACTGCCGCCTGCAGGTTGCAGGATCGGCAATAGCCGAGTGCACAGCACCCACACCATCTTCGTTTGAGCCCAATTGCTGTACAACTCTGATCGAACCAAGTTTGGATTTACGCGTTTCATTGGTTTGAAACAGAAAGGTAGATCGCAAGTGAGTATAATATGTGGTTCTCCAACCTTGACTTGGCTCCTCGTTTTCGGCGAGGCTCTAACCAATACCCTCGCACGTGCTCTGCTTTGGTTGCCCAGACCCGGATAGTGACATCCTTTTCAAAACGTATATTGATTCCTCAGCAGACCCGACAGTCGAGGACATTAGTGCCCGCGTTGCCATCGCATCATCATTTAGTTCATCCAGTGAAACTTCAAGACAGAGTCATTGTTCAAACCGCCAGCGCATTACATGAAGTTTGGGAAGGAACTCGAAGAGGAGATACAGAACACGCCTACATGGGCGCAATACTACATGTGAGATGGCCTTCTGGAAGAAAGCAGGGGGGTGGGGGCAGCTGTTGTTCATTGTCAAGAGGACTAGTTTGCGAGCAAAAGTCCGTCAGGCGCGACTGCGGAGATCAAAAGGCATCGAAGGATGGTGAAAGTAACGAAATCCAGACAGGATGGTGTTTTCTTTGCCGCAAGTGGATGTTGGTGCTGGCAAAGTCCGCGAGTTACATCACGCCGCAACGACAAGTTAGAACCTTTGTCGGGCCAACAACCTTGGGAATAATCTTGCATTATTGCGAAAAGCGTGTCCAGAAAGCAGATGAGTTGACCAATTTGTGCTCGCGGATGCCTTGGAGCTCATCACTGCGAATTGGTGACACCAAGGGCTCTAAACCTTGTCTAGTTGCCCAAAGACAGCATTCTCGACCTCACAAATTGGAAAATTTAGGTGGAACGTGAAGCTTTGACCTCACTTGAAACCGGAATTGCTCTGTCGTTGATACTCTCTTCCGTTGAAAATTGATTGATTGCTCGGTAATTGACATCTGCGCCATCTTCATGGACGTTTGGGCGAGCTTGCAAGGCAAATTTTGGCCGTCATCTTAAATATTCTCTTTTTGTCGCTGGATATCACCGACGGAATTGTTTCTCATCTCGTGCTATCCTTCTGTCCCTTGTCCAGCAACTACACCCACCTGAAAACCCTCCTCAAGGAGGATCCCGTCTCGGATGACGAAGAAGAGTCCTCCGCTGCACAGGCTGTCAATGCGTCAAAGAAGAAAAATGCCCGAACTCCGCTAGAACCAGAAGAGGATCAGGCGTTTATCGAGGAGTTGGATAAGGAACTAGAGAAGGTGTGTTTGCGTGTTAGGGAAGCTGGCTGGACACAGAGATGAATTATAGGATGTGGCACAACAAGTGACAGAATATGCACTCAGGCGGAACCATCGAGACATGTGTCGTCGAGGTGTAAGTGACTGGGGACATGGGGACCCACACAATGTTCAGATAGTGTCGGCATGGATATGAGCTGCGGGTGATTTCGTGCGAAATTGTGGAGTGCGGATCTTCTTTTGCTTTTTTGTTTCTGGAGCACTGACGCACCAATTCCCGCACTTTCCGAGAACCCATCTACGCAACATCTGAACTTTACTTTCCCTGTTCCACCATCCTCAGATCACTTCTACATACCTAACCCACAAAGGTCTCCTTCGCACCCGCCTTGACCACCTTATCGACCTCGTTGCGTCCAGCCCAGTGCCCCCAGATTTCCGTACCATTGCGGATGTCCAGGGGGAGCTGGACGCCACCGCAGAGGAAGCACGAAGATTGGGATTGTTTACGAGGCTTAATTATACAGGGGTCTTGAAGGTATGTCCTCGGAGATGATGTTGCGTTTTGAGGAGATTGAATATGCGTTGGTGTAGTGGGGCGAAGGGTTGATGAGAACTCAGGGGTTGTCTGTGACCATTGTGTTCTCGTGTTGAGTCCTTTATAGTTGAACTTGTTCCACTACCACCACAGATTCTCAAAAAGCACGATAAACTTTCCAACTACAAAATCACATCCACATATCAACTCCGTCTTGCTTCCACCGGATGGTCCTCCGATGAATTGCGGGTCGAGCTCGTTGACCTCTCGCGCTGTTTTGATCAGTGGAACACTCTGCGGAACGGAGGTAGAACAATTGGAAGCGCAACGCCTCAACGGCCGCTCGGACTTGGGGTGGCACAACATATCGGCATTCCAAGAGAGGGTCACGTCGAGAAATCCTTGGCGACGCTGCAGGTGGAGGAACCAAGTGAGGGGGTGGTTAAGAAGACGTTTAAGTATTGGGTGCACCAAAGTGAGTTTGGTGAAGACAAAACTCCGTTCAGTCATGGTGAAGAAATGATATTGACAATCCATCTCGCATTTTCGTCGGTCTCGAATCTTTCTCGAATTGGTACAAACGCAATTCAACCCTCTTGTTCGTTCGCCCTCACCCAGACAATATTCCAAATTTAAAAGTCCACATCCTTCGACATCTTCCAGTCCTTATCTTTACCGACAAATCACGCTCTGATGATATCGACACGTCTGTCCTCACTGTTTACTTTGACGATGACGATTGTTCCACATACAACGACTTGGCGGCCAACATACCGGCTGTCCAAGTGGTCCGAATAAAGTGGGTCGGACAGAAACCCCCACAACCGCATCAGGAGGTTACCGTAGAGCTGCAGGAAAGTGGGGATACAGTACGGAGAGATATGCCGGTACGATATCGATTTTCTGTCAAAGAGAAGTATTTGGTGGGGTTCTTGGATGGGAGTTGGTCGTATACGCCCAAAATTGATAAGTGGCGAAAGAATGGAACACATGGTACTACCAAAGAGTTGGATGAGTTGGAGCGAACCTCACGGAGAGTACAAGACGCCATTCTGAAGAGGAGGTTGAGACCCGTGTTGCGGACGGCGTACAAACGGACTGCTTTTCAAGTGCCCGGGCAGGAAAACGTTGTTGCAAGTTTAGATACAGAGATTAAAATGGTTAGGGAGGATGACTTTGGTGGGAAAGAACGAGCAGGTAAAGGGTGGATTCGGAAGGACGCAGCGTGGCCTTATCAGGACTTGGTTGACCAGAACGAGGCAGTTAAATTTGCTCCGGGTGTATTGGAAATTCGAGTTGTGTATCCCGTGGGAGGTCACCCACCAGAATGGGTTAGAGGTCTCCTCAACACAGGGTTGGTGAGTTACGGACCGGGGATGTGGAGAATGGCTTTATTGTTGTATCATGTGACCGGTCTGCCCTTCCGAACGCCCAAAAGGTGCTCGAAACCCCTTCGTTCTCGAAGTACGTTCACGGTATTTCGCAACTCATTCCCTCCAAATGTGCTGTTCTTCCTTTTTGGGCAACGGCACTCCAGAACATCGACATCCGGCATCCGTCCGGCGCGGTTTTGGGTCCCCCCGCCGCGGAGGATGAGCACAATACTTGGAGAGCCGACCGGGACGACGATGATGAGGACGACGAGCTGGATGAAGAAGCGGAGGAGGACGATGAAAGTGACGAGGAACACAGCAGAACGATTTCTTCAACCGAGACGTCCAAACCCAGCTCGGGAACTGCAGCGCCGCATAATGGGGCCGTCCATGCCCCGAATGCTCCTTGGTCTGTCGAGCAGTGGTTGGGGGAAATGGGTAAGGCTGTCGGGCTGGTGCCGACTGCCGATGAGGTGATCCGCAGACCAGTGTTGGGCAAAGCTTCGACCGGGCCGAAGAGGGTTGCAATTCCAGTGAGAATTGAACCAAAGGTGTATTTTGCAAATGAACGAACTTTGCTGGATTGGCTGTCGTTCGTGAGTAAGGTTTGCGAGTTTGATGTACGAATTTGAAATCTGATCTAAGGTGTCGTCTGCATTTAGTCTACCGTCATTGGTGGCTTGGCGCTCGGCTTGCTCAATTTCGGTGATCCCGTTGGTCAGACGATGGGTGAGTGTTACGAACAGCTGAAAGAAGGTCACGCAGCTCGCCGGTAAATTCAACTTTTTTATT